ACATGGCAAGACCTCGTCTCTACAATAAATAAATAAAAATTGCCAGGTGTGGTGGCACATGTCTGTGGTTTCAGCTACTTGGAAGGCTGAGGTGGAAGAATCACCTGAGCCCAGCAGGTCAAGGCCGCGGTAGCCATGAGCGTGCCGCTGTACTCCAGCCTAGGTGACAGAGTGAGACTCTGACTCAAAAGCAAAAACAAAAACAAAATCCCTCCTAAGTAAGGTTTTAATGGCTAGAATGGTTAGGGATGGGCTTTCAACATGCCCAGCTCATGTTGAAATTTAATACCCCACACCTCATCAACAAGGGTACCTGCACAATGAATATTTGTATACCTAACCCTGAATTGTACCTCACAGTTGAAAAGAGAATAGTAATAAGCCGGGCTCGGTGGCTCAGCCTGTAATCCCAGCACTTTGGGAGGCTGAGGTGAGTGGATTGCCGGAGCCCGCGGGTTCGAGACCCGCCCAGGCAACTTGTTGAGACCTCATCTCTACAATAAAATCAAAAATTAGCTGGGCATGGTAGCGCGCGCCTGTAGTTCCAGCTACTCGGAAGGCTGAGGCGGAAGGATCGCCGGAGCCCAGCAGGTCGAGGCTGCGGTGGCCAGGAGTGGCCACTGCACTCCAGTTTGGGTGACAGAGTGAGACTCCAGCTCAAAAAAAAAAAAAAAGAATAGTAATAAAATAAAATATATAAAAAAAGAAATTAGCCGGGCTTAGTGGCTCAGCCTGTAATCCCGTGCCTTGGGAGGCTGAGGTGAGTGGATTGCCTGAGCCCGCGGGTTGAGACCTGCCTGGGAAACTTGGTGAGACCTTATCTCTACAATAAAAAAAAAAAAAAAAAATTAGCTTGGCATGGTAGCGCACACCTGTAATTCCAGCTACTTGGAAGGCTGAGGCGGAAGGATCGCTGGAGCTCCAGCAGGTCGAGGCTGCAGTGGCCGGGAGCGGCCACTGCACTCCAGTCTGGGCGACAGAGTGAGACTCCAACTCCAAAAAAAAGAAAGAAGTTTAATCCCCAGTGTGGCAGTATTGAGGGGTGGGGTCTTTAAGAGGTGATTGAGTCATGAGGGCTCTGCCCTTATGAATGGATTAATCCATCCATAAATTAATGGATTAATGGGCTATTACTGGAGTGGGAATCATGGATTTATAAGAAATCAAAGAGATCCGTGAGCTAGCATGCTTTGCCCCCTGGCCATGTGATTTCCTGCACTGCTTTGGAAATCTGCAGCGTGTCCATCAGCAAGAAGTCTCTCACCAGTTGCATCCCCTTGGCCTTGGACTTCCCAGTCTCCAGACTGTAAGAAATACATTCCAAGCTGGGCTTGGTAGCTCAGCCTGTAATCCCGTGCTTTGGGAGGCTGAGGTGAGTGGATCGCCTGAGCCCC